TGAGAGAGGAAGATTTTTTACCAACTGTGTGAATAGATGAACATAGGTTTGAAGGATACTGCGAGGGGATGGAGGTTTAAAGAGGGTCATTGTTTTCAGATGATGGCTCGAGACAGTTGTAGTTTGGTCAATGGCGAGCAAGGCAAGGAGAGACAGGAAGGAAGAAAGGTTAATGTGATGGTGTGTGTGTGTGTGTGTGTGTGTGTGTGTTAGATGGAGGGAGTGGAGTTGTGATTTTTCTTGTTTTTTGTCCCTCAATGTCGCTTTTATGATATATATTATTTTTTTGTAAGTGAAATTAATATATAACTTTTCTCTAGTTGTAAGTATCGAATATATACTAACACACACACACACACACACAACAGCGACTTAGAAAATAAACATCTCCATTCAGTACATTGATGGGATGAGGACTATACCAGCTGGCTCCCCTTCCCTCCCCCCCCCCTTCTCCAGTGGCCGGATAATGATGGTACTGATGTGCTAAAACCATTAATAACAGGGAAATAACTCTCCGATCCTCTATAAGACCCTGAACGTATGCTTCGGGGAGATGGGATCCACAAGAAGGAGGACGATTCGATCTCTTATACATCGATTAATTCGTCTATATTTTGTTTATCACCAACATTGACTACTTATGAAGAACCTTAAGGGACGATATTAACGACACATACATATATATCGTCTAAAAACAGATAGAAAATACCCCAATAACCGATTATAAAGGCTTAAAACCCGATTACAGTGGCGGGGAAAAGAGCGAATACAACGAAAAATAACCAAAACAAAGTCAAGCGTAGGGAAACAGTGGCGGTGGATCTGCGAGGCCATTACGAGACAAAGTCGGCACTATTATCCCCGCCTTGTGCCATCTATAAACACAATCCTCATGCCATTTGTAAAGAAGGAAGCGACTTCATCTCTCCTCCTCCCTCCCCTTACTCGTTGCTTCTGTTTGGTTTTGTGAGAGCGTTTCTGTGTACTGAAGAGGGAATAGTGACAAGTGATTCATCATCTTCCTTGACTAGTGTGACCTGTGTTGTGTTTATGTTTGGCTAGTGACCTTTGGCTAGTGACCTGTTTTGTGTTTACGTTTGGCTAGTGACCTTTGACTAGTGACCTGTGTTGTGTTTATGTTTGGCTAGTGACCTTTGGCTAGTGACCTGTGTTGCGTTTACGTTTGGCTAGTGACCTTTGGCTAGTGTTGTCTTGACGTTTGGCTAGTATTTTGACCCTAATACCAACATATTCAGAATATTATAAGACAAATGAATCAGGTATTACAAACATACTATCAAATCTGTCATAATAATAATAATAATGGTTGCCCCTCGAAATCGAGGATGGCCAGCCCAAGGGCCACCTAGGCGTGAATTTGTTTAAGGTGTAGAAGCTGTTGCCAACACAACAACCACACCCTGAGTTAACGAGCTGCATGACCCAGTGTCAAGGAATAGTCCGAGAAGACCGGACAACTCGCCAACTGCACTGGCTAACCATTACCCCGGAATACGATCCGCAAATCGATTAACATCCAGGTCCCCAATTACTGCTGGGTAGACAGAGGCAAATGGCGTAAAGAAACTTGCCCATAGTTTCACCCTGCCCGGGGATCGAACTCGGGTCCTCTCGCTTGCGAGGCGAGGATGCTGACCATTACACACACACACACACACACACGACAAAGACAATCTACTTGCGAAAGGAACGATTGGGAGGGTTAGGGAGGGAATGAGTTGTTTACGTTCTCGGAGTTCTTGTAGTAATGAAGTGAGAGATTAGTTGAAGGTAGAGGTGAGGTATAGTTCTTGAGGTAGGGGGGGTGAGGGGTGTAGGAGGAGGATGAAGAGCGGGGGGTGAGGGGTGTAGGAGGAGGATGAAGAGGGGGGGTGAGGGGTGTAGGAGGAGGATGAAGAGCGGGGGTGTGGTGAGGGGGTGTAGGAGGAGGATGAAGAGCGGGGGTGGTGAGGGGTGTAGGAGGAGGATGAAGAGCGTGGATATGGATAAATTAACTGGTCATGCAAGATATAAACAGTAAAATCGTACGTGTTCTTACCTCAAATTGGCATCAAAAGGTGGTAGGAAGAGTCGAGAATACACGTGAAGTAGTATGTGTATGAGGCAGTGGTGTAAGGTTAGCGTCACTAGGCACACTACACTGATTTATAGACGATTATGAAGTACAGGACACACACACTTGCTTGGGAGGGGGGGGGGGAGTAGAAACGCATACTTTACCCACGTGAAGTCCAAGAACGAGATCCTTTCACCACACAAACTGAGGAACTACTGAGAACGGACACTAGGAGACTCGCATGTGTGAAAAAGTGCCGAAAAAAAAGCCTATTTGTCAAACATAATCCACCTAGGACCGCGGAGTGATTCAAGCATTATATCATGAAATTACAAAAACATCATATGCCGTAAACAGAAGCCATGTTTTTATAGGCGTATGAAGTAGTAATGTGTTGGTTATAAGAATATTGTGTTTGTGGGGGATGTGTAGATGGAAATATTATACGTATGGAACTGTATTAATTGGTAGTAGATGGTAATTGTGTAGTTAGATAGTGAAGGAAGGTGTGTGTCTGCGTGTATTCCTCCGCCTTATGTACTTACCTCCCGGATCTAAGTGTCTGTGCACGAAATATTGATACACATGTCCGAGGTCGACACGGATGACAACAATGTGTGTGTGTGTGTGTGTGTGTGTGTGTGTACAACCTTCCAGTGAGTGTAATCTTCTTCAGTGAATCAATATCATGCACTTGGTCGCACTGAACGTTAGTCCTCTACAGTGTGTACGTTGTAGCGGTGACTCCTTCGTCAGTGAGGTCTTGAAACTGTATACGTGCTAGACTTAGAGAGAGGCAGACAGACAGGTATATAGACAGATAATGACATGCAAACAGAGAAAGAGGAAGATATACAGACAGACAGACAGACAGAAACAGACAGACAGACAGTGAGCGAGAGAGACAGATAAACACAAACAGAGAAAGAGGAAGATATACAGACAGACAGACAGAGAGACAGAGAGAGACGTCTGACCATCACCCCCCAACACAATACTGTCAATATGGTGATAAATAATTGACGGTCATGTAAAGTTCGCGTTCGACAGTGAAATATTGTGTGTTGTAACCCTAGAGTGAAGGCGGTTCGGTTAGGTTAGGCTTGGTTACGTTATGTTAGGTTAAATTGTTTATATTTTTCATTGTTGGTTAATAAAAAAAAGAATATATTTAAGAGAAAAATGACTAGAATGTGTATTGATGAGTTGAGGAAGGAAACGTAACCCCTAGTAATCAATAAGGTGTGAGAGGGTTGTGTTAGTTCACCTGTCTGAGTGTGACAGTTCATACATACACACCTGTGGATTAGAAGGATGTCACTAATTCCTTCCTTATGGTGTGTAACCTCCATCTACCTAACCTACAGAGTGTGTGTGTGTGTGTGTGACCCTCCACCTACCCACCGTGTATAACCCTCCCTAGAGTCCCTCACCCCACCTCACAATGAACATCTCCCCCTCCCCCTTCACCCCCCCACCCCTAGCCCTCCCTTACCACCCCCTCCCCTGACCACCCTCACCGTTAACTTACCATGACAATGACGACAATAAGAATATGCTTTATTTCCGGCTAACCGTACGGCGTATCCCACGAACCCATCAATAAGAGAGGAGGCTGATGCTGTGAACTGGTGTCTTAAATTCTATAACTGTATAAACAAATACTCTCTTTATCACGTCTCTCAAACTTTATTTTTTATGGTAACTTGTCGTCAATAATGTAATTCTTTCGATAGTTTATTACTGTGTTGTTGTAATTAAAAGATTTAGTACAGTAAAGGAGTAGACAAGATTACAGGGGTCATTTTATTACCGAGGTGATGCGTGAATCCCATCATCCCCTGAACACAAACAACTGAGCATCAACGTAAACACTTCTCAGCTGTTCACCGGAAAAATAAGTTACCGTTTTCTTTGTGATTTATGAGTGGTTCTGTGTGTGTGTGTGTGTGTGTGTGTGTGTTGATTCTCTCTCTCTCTCTCTCTTTTCCTTTTTTACAACGCTCAGTCAAGTTCTAATGGGAGACTTTTTTCCCCCTTAACTGATGGATGAGTCGTTGAGCTGAAGAGAAAATTAACTAATAACTCTGTTGATCATGTGTGTTTATAAAGGTCACGTCATGAGACTCAACTTCTTCGTTATTCTAATAATGTCAACAACAACAACAACCTAACCTAAGATTCTTAATAGCTCCGTGGGTTAATTGTCAACATCTATATCAGAAGACAACAGTGGTTCAAGGGGAGTCGGCATTGACCTGAGATTGTCTTAATTACCTGTGTTTTGTTTTTTCACCTCGAAGGATATAAGGTGAAGGGGTCATGACAGGAGTTCAAAGTGTGTGTGTGTGTGTGTGTGTGTGTGTGCGTGTGTGTGTGTGTGTGTGTGTGTGTGTGTGTGTGTGTGTGTGCGTGTGTGTGTGTGTGTGTGAAGAAGTTTATAGTGTCTCTATGGATCTCAAAATCAATGCCATGCCAAGTTGATCACCTGCACTTCACCAGATAAATAATTCAGGTGTGTTAGAAAGGTGTTTATCTCCTCGACACACCTGAATTTTTGTATATATTGTTCAGATGTTCAGGTTATAGCAATACATTGATCTCTAGGCCCATACACAGGTCCTCCCCCAAAAACAAATTCGTGTCAACTTTGAACTCATTAGAACCTAACCTAAACTTATGGACCTTTAAAATTCATCTCCAGAATATGTCTCTTTATATATATCTTAATTAAAGTGTTTAAACGGTTAAACTCCATTAATACTCTTGTTTTTTTTTTCGTTTTAATAAAAATTATGTAGTCCTGTTCCATATTTGGGGGATTTTTTTCCGAGATTTGATCAACTGTTCCAACCAAATATACAATTTATCATAAAACTTATAATTTATATTTATTGTGGACATAAAAGATACTCTGAGACTAAATTATTTAATTTATTGAATTATATAACTACAATAGAGAACCCGGCACCAAGGTGCTTGTCGCCTCACAGCTGGCTTGCATTACCATCTGCCGTGCTGGACGTCGCGCAGCTGGATGGCAGAACCACCTTTCTTACACGACGCCAGATTGCTGAATGGTAACACCAGCTGCCGTGCAGGTGGCCACACAGGGGTTAGGAACATTACTGGGCAGAGGAGCACTACAGTACAGCTCTCATCGGGAACCATGCAACAAAATTACATATAACATCAAACAACCAAAAGCAGTCTATGTACTGGACTTAGGAACATTCCACTTCCTCCCGAGAACACTGAAGTACACATCTCGTGGCCCTCAGTGGCTCTTGTAGGGGCCTATGGCGCACTACGGCTAGTGCAGGGCCCGGCGTTCACCGCTGTGTTGAGACTATGGTGTTATAACCCGTGGCTTCCACACACCTTCCCTACAGTCTTGGTTGACACTACCTGGCCCAAACACTGGCCCTCCCAGGAACTCCCCTAAATTGTACTGTGGACAGGAACTCAGTAAGCATCAACCAACAAGATCAACAGCAACACCCAGGCACTTGCATAAATAATTAAGTGAAAGACGTCTAACATGGCGATATGTACATATTTACACAGCCCCCGTGACTAGATATGTACAGGAGGGGCAACTACCATGGCTTTGTCCGGACATGGCGGATTGGCTGCCCGAGTCTCTCGACGCTGTTCGGGTCTAGAAGATGACTGACAGTGGCCTCCGGTAGTCGGCTCCTACAGGCGGGTACTGCGCGTTAGTGTAGGAGGCCACCTGGGATGGCTGCAGGAGGCTGGCCATGGTAGAGGGGACGCCCTGACTCAGAGCTCCAGAGGGCTGGAAGGCTGAGGTACTGGCAGCCTGACTGTAGTAGTTGCTGAGGGCGCCGGCAGCCGAGCCGTAGCCAGCCATGGGTCCCGGGTTGACACTGCTGATGCCAGGTGACGCGCTCTTCATCTCGGCGTCTTTGGGATCCTGTGCCAACTTATCCAGGTATGAGGTGGGTTTCTCCAGGCCGTACTTGTCGGAGAGATATTTGCTGCTGTCCAAATACGATTTGGCGGCTTCGTATCCTCCGACGGCGGCTGAGGCGGCAGCGGCGGCGGCGACCTTGCTGGTGTCACCATATTTTTGGTCTGTGGCGGCGGCTGCGGCGGCTGACCCGTACATACTCATGGGGTAGCCTGCGGCCCCGGTCATGTAGCTGGTGTACTTGGAGGCGTCGTAGCCGTAACCGACGGGGCTAACCTGTGACGCCTGTGTGGTGAGTTGCTGCTGAGCGGCGGCGGCGGCGGCAGCTGCGGCGGCCATGTGTGCCGCAGTGATGGAACCGTAGTTGGCTGCGGCGGCGCTGGCGGAGTAATACGGCGAGAGCTGAGAAGGGAACCCTGAGGAAGACAACAAGACACAGTTAATATTGGAAGGTCATGTGTCTGGCCTCTGATGTTGTATTCTTATAGTAGGTTGAGATGAGATAGATATAGATAGATAGATAGATAGGTAGATAGAGAACATAAGAACATAAGAATGGAGGAAACTGCAGCGGGCCTATTGGCCCATACTGGGCAGTCCCATTTACACCCAACCCCTATCGCTCATATATCCTCCAACCTGTGTTTGAAGTTATCCAGCGTATTCGAGTTAATGATGATGTCTGTTAACTTGTTCCACTCATCCACTACTGTATTACCAAACCACGATAAAGGAGATAAAAAAGGCTACTCAAAAACATTTATGGCACGGTTGACGGCGAGTTCATTTAAAACACATTATACGGCACACGGGCGAGAGAGAGAGAGAGAGAGAGAGAGAGAGAGAGAGAGAGAGAGATAAGAGGGAAACACAACGCTTGGTGGTGAGTATGTCCGCACGTGGCACTGTAGAGGGGGAGAAGAAGAGGAGGAAGGGGGGAAGAGGAGAGAGGAAGGGGGTGGGGTACAGGAAAAGGGGGATAGGAAGGGAGGAGAAGGGGATACACGTGCATGGGTGGGGGAAGGGGGAGTTATACTGCACCCCATCACCCCCTCTCACCCCTCTTCCCACTCAGGCTGCCACAATAGGAGACACTCACCATCCTCAACACCCGATTGTCTTTCCTCTCCCCGTAATTATGGTCCCGCTAATGGAATTAAATAGGTAGGTGGTGAAGCCCGGAACCTGAGACATCCAAGACACGGTACCCCACTCATCACTCTACTACCTTCCCTCTCCCTCCCACTCCACTGCCTTCCCTCTCCCTCCCACTCATCACTCCACTACCTTCCCTCTCCCACTCCACTGCCTTCCCTCTCCCTCCCACTCATCACTCCACTACCTTCCCTCTCCCACTCCACTGCCTTCCCTCTCCCTCCCACTCATCACCCACTACCTCTCCCTCTCCCTCCCACTCTCACTCTACCACCTTCCCTCTCCCACTCATACCACCTTCCCTCTCCCTCCCCTCCACTGCCTTCCCTCCCACTCATCACTCATCACTCCACCTTCCACTCTCTCCTCCCACCTCATCACTCCACTACCTTCCCTCCCACTCATCACTCACTGTCTTCCCTCCCACTCCACTGCCATCCCTCTCCCTCCCACTCACACCACGCCACTACCTCCTCTCACCACGCCACCTCTCCCCCCCACTTACCCCTCGCTAACTATTTAAATCTGAACCATAAGAGGTTTTGCCTGACTTAGAGGGGAAGGGGGAGGGGGGTGGAGGGGGGGAACGAGGAAGGGAAGAAGAGGGTAGATAGATGAAGGGAATGAGGAAGATGGGTGGAGGGAACGGAGAAGGGAGATAAGAGGAAGGAATGAGGGAGAACTAGAGAGAGAGAGAGAGAGAGAGAGAGAGAGAGAGAGAGAGAGAGAGGAAGTATCTAAACAAACAATAACATCCCACATCTATTTACCCAGCTCGTCATCCCTGGAGGGCCAAGTATAGTGAGGAAGTTGTTAGGTGAGACAGTATTACAGGTGTGTGAGAGGCGTCACTAAACACAGACACGGGGGGAGGGTGACACATATTATCTTTTTAGAGCGGCTGTGTTTGTCGTGTATGTAGGTTAATGTTTACATAGACATACACACACACGCGTACAGTTGCTCTTGAACTTACACACACACACACACACAAATCTGCAGTAAACAAACACATAATATAAACACACATAAACAAAACTTGGGATCAAACACAAACAACATCAGAACTATTCACGTTCTCTGATATATCCTTGACCCATCTGTCTCCCTCCTTCCTTCCCTCCCTCTCTCCCTCCCTCCTTCGGTCCTTTCTTCTCTCCCTTCTACTCCACCCCCGCCTACTCCCCTCCTCCCTATCTCCCTTCCTCTCCACCCCTGGCCTACCCTCCCCCACCTTCCACCTATACTCTCTCCCCCTCCTCCTTCTCTCCCCTCCCCGCACTCCCTCCTCCTCCTCCTCCAAGAGCTGGGGTGATCCGCAGGGCAGGCAACAAAACGTCTCCTCTGGCAGAAGTTTGGTAAAAAGATCCAGCGAGGAAATTAAGTGGTGTAAGATTGAATAAAATTGATCCACAGAAGGTCGAGTGATCCAAAATAAGGGAAGGTGGATCAGCTGGAACAAATTGATCCAGCTATAATAATATACTCTAGTTTTTATGGCCAAGTGATCCTAAATAGCCAAGCAGATGATCAACATAAGGGTCAAGACAGATACCAGAATGAGTGATGATGATGATTCAAATGATCCAGCGAAAGAGACAAAATTATTAAAAAAAAGAAAAAGGTCCACATATGATCCAGAGAGGCAAACAACCCAATTTAATTATATATATATACAAGTGATCCAGTAACGGGGACCAAAGTGATCCAGCTTGAAGGATCGATTAAGCGAGTGCGTGGGACGGCGGGTAGGGGGGGGGGTGGGTTTGGTTGGGCTGACAGGCAGACCCCGTGTGAGCTCCTGAGAGAGAGAGAGAGAGAGAGAGAGAGAGAGGAGGTACCAACTGATCGATAGGGCGCCTCTGGCTCATTGTAACTCTCTTAATACTCTCAATCATGATCCATTGTTCCTTCAAACGCTGAAATATTCAACGGCACAGCTATAGCGCCTCGCAAATTGTCTAAACTTGTGTGTGTGTGTGTGTGTGTGTGTGTGTGTGTGTGTGTGTGTGTGTGTGTGTGTGTGTGTGTGTGTGTGTGTGTGTGTGTGTGTGTGTTTGCTCTGGTTGTTACTGGTGCATGTGAAGGGTGTTTGTCTCTCTGCTTGTGTGCATGTGTGTCTGAGCATATGTGTGTGTGTGCGTGCGTGTGTATGTATGTATGTATGTATCTGTGTGTATGCGTGTGTCATTGTGCGTGTTTATATCTGTGTGTGTGCGTGTCATTGTGTGTGTTTATATCTGTGTGTGTGTGTGTGGGAATGCGTATTTACTCGTGCGTGTGCTTAAAAACCAATTATACCTCCCCCCCCCTCCCATTACCCCCACATCCAAAAAAAAATATCAACAACCTTCACATCACCAAACACAAACTCATCCCATAAAACAATGATAAAACCCCAACCTCATCTGTTTACCGAAAAAAAAAACATAAAAAAAACACAAAATAAAACATCCAAATCAACAATAAACAAATTCCAGACCCCCAATTTCTCCCATCCCAAACAAGCATGCGTATGTAATTAAGAGTGGACAATACACCATCAACTACCACTATTACTCACTGTACGGACATGCGAACTACCACTGACCGTCATTGATTTAATTTCCGATGTGACTAGAAGCTGGATCACGGGCCGACAATAACAATTATGCCCCATTGTTGAAGTGGACAATAAGGCGTTTACTCGTGGCTTTTGTGGTTGAGGACCTATTCGTTTATTCCCTGGGTTATAGGATGGCTGGAGCTAACCCATGCCAAGGGGTAGTGTCTGTGTGTGTGGGGCGAGAGAGAGAGAGAGAGGTGTGAGAAATAAGCAAAGAAAGACAGACAGACAGACAGGCAGGCAGTGTGTTTTAAGGGTTAATACTAAGGGTGAGAGAGAGACAAAGGGGAGGGAGGGAAGGGGGGGGGGTTTCCTAGATCCCTTAGATACCGATAAAAACGAAGGAGGGAAAAAGTTGTGATATGTAAGAGGGTAAAATACCATCCATTATCCCCTTAGTATGGTGATGAAGTATACACGTAACCATACTAGGGAGATGGAAGGTTCTACAGGAGGTGCCGGCAGAGGGAGAATGATGGAAGTCGTACTTAAGAGGGAGGAGGAGGAGGAGTCACTCTTTTAAAAGGCAGAAAATAAAGGGAACAAAATATTGGGTGTCAGTGTTTTTAAGTCCGTGATTGTGTTGGTTGGTAGGGGAGGAGGGAGAGGAAAGGGAAGGGGGAGGAGAGGGGAGAGGGAGGAAGAGGAGTGTGATGAGCTCTTGTGGAAGGGATGGGAACTGGTTTATGCGTCGTGTTTTGAGTAGATTTTTTTCACGTAGAGTTTATTTACAGTTAAGGCACAGAGTTCAAAGGGAGAGGAGGGTGACGACTTAGCTTGAGTCACAGTATCACACGGATAGAAAAAATTACCCTCACATTGACTTTAGCGCCAACTAGAGGAAGATAAATAATTACTTATACGATACCTTAAGATGTATGAGGGAGATGGAGAGTCAGAGGTTGAGTATTACAATAAGAAAAAAAATATCCCTGTACATATATCAAATTGACAAAAGACCCCCCCAAAATAAGCGCCATTACTTTAGATTCTAAGCAGAGAACTTAATCTCATAGCCTGTCATGTCGCGATCTATATCACAGTTCAGCGTGGCTTTGTACCTCACAAAGAAAACGTAATGCTCTCTCACTGACCATAAAAATGAACGTATAAATCTGATCACCAAACACAAGTCCTGAGTGTAATAACAGAGGTGTAATGGCTGCCAACAACGGGGCATCCACACGCGACAAGCAACACCGCCTGAATAATTGATCCCCTCACCACCACACCACCACTTTATACATTTTCCAGACCAACAGTTGCACAAGTAGGGAGCCACTAGCGGCCACTACCCCCCTCCCCTCTACTACCCCCGGGGCCGCGGTAATTGAAACACCATTATCCAACACCAGCAGCGTTATGGCACAATAGAGACACACACTGGAACGTGAATTCACAATCAGGGAGAAACACGAAGGTGGTCCCCGTGTTTGTGATCGATACCACCATGAGTGATACGATGCCCCACTGCCCCCCTTCACACCCCTCCCTTACTCCAGTATCCACACCCTCTTCCCCATCCCTCCACTGCCCTCCTTACCCTCCACAGTCCCCCTTACTCTAATATCCACATCATTTTCTCCCCCCCTCCACAGTTGGATAAGCAGAGGATGTGGAGGGGTCGGGAAGGGTGTGACGAGCAGCTGGCCTACGACTATCGGAAGCCCTGTCTCTCTACAACGGAGTCCCCCAGGGTAAGGCTTTTGCACCAGACTATTTCCCCACCAGAACAAATACTATCGCTGTTATAACGTTATCACAGTTATCTCAGTCGTCGTAAAGCTGATATATTATGTATAAAGAAATAAATGTTGAGAAATTTTTGTTTATAGAATTGATTTTTTTTAAATTGTTTTCCTGAACAAACCAAAGGCGACAACACTTACATTATCATAGTGATAAAAACATAAATAACTATTAAATATGATAAAAAAACTGACGAGTCACCGAAATAAATGAAAGGAGGAAGCGATAAATTGAACAAACAACAAACAAGCAGTAATATTATATAATGTAGGGAAAAATTCACTCATCATCACAACCACAACAAATATTGGAGTTATGTTGGAAGCGTTGACTACACTTAAGGTCAGGTCAGGTCACTCTACCTCACATGTCACACTCTTAACTATAGATTTGTGTATTTATGTAATCGTCAGCATGTATACACCTAAGAATACATACACCTTCGACTGTGTATGTATGTACGTATACTGTATGTGTGTGTATGTATGAGTGTGTGTGTGTGTGTGTATGTATGTATTCTCACTTTGTAACTGATGATATTCTATACTTTTGTTTACTGTCATACAAACTCTCCAAATTATCTAAAATATATAACATAATAACAGTAGTGAAGATCTTCGTCCTCTCACCGTCACTGGACAACAACAACAACTTAAGTCAACATAACTTCAGTGTGTCGTGTGAGTGTTGATATAAAAGACAAGGAATGAAAAAGAGAAAGAGATTTAACCAAAGGAAAAAATATAATGGAAGATTAACATGAAGTGTCTGTCACTGTTTTACCCTCAAAATATGAACAACAAAATGATAACTGTTTACTGAGTGTTATATTAGGTCTCCCAGGGCCGCACCATCACCGTCAATGATAACTGTTTACTGAGTGTTATCTTAGGTCTCCCAGGGCCGCACCATCACCGTCAATGATAACTGTTTACTGAGTGTTATCTTAGGTCTCCCAGGGCCGCACCATCACCGTCAATGATAACTGTTTACTGAGTGTTATCTTAGGTCTCCCAGGGCCGCACCATCACCGTCAATGACTTACCTCCGCGGAGAGGATCCATGGAGACGGTGGGGTAGGGGATACTGTAGGGGTAACCGTCCTTCTTCAGGGTCTTGGGCTTCCTGCGGGGACGGTACTTGTAGTCTGGGTGATCCTTCATGTGTTGGGCCCGGAGACGTTTGGCCTCGTCGATGAAGGGACGTTTCTCAGCCTCCGTCAGCGTCTTCCACTCAGCTCCTGATGGAAGTAGAAGGAGAAGGTTAGCCGCTGTATAGTAGTCATGGCGCTCTACACACTATTCGACGATGTATTATATGTCTGTATCATCGAGGAAAAAACATTCATGTGTAACGTTACCCACCGAGACGCTTGGAGATCTCAGAGTTGTGCATCTTGGGGTTCTCTTGAGCTATCTTGCGGCGCTGCATGCGGGACCACACCATGAAGGCGTTCATGGGGCGCTTCACGTGATCATCCTTGCTGCCGTTCTCCTTCTTCTGGGCTGATCCGCTGGGGGAGCAGCCGGAGGCGGTAGAATCAGCTGGTGATGGGGTAGAGACGGGCGTCACCAGAGCTGCCTGGCGGAGATGAGCGTGACTCGCTGTTAGTGTCTGCGGCAGGAGAGAGAGATGGACTAAGTGAGCCACAGGTTTATCCCAACACAATATGTCGACCATAATTCCTAAATTTGTGAAACAGAAATATGAAAACTAACACACATACACGCCCTTCAGGTGATGAGGCAAATATAGACGCACTTCTTACCTCTGGGGTGTTCTGCGCAGGCGCGTGGGGGGTGTGGGACGCCTGCTGGTGGGGATGGCCGCTCTCCTGCTGCGGAGGAGGCTGCTGGGGTGGCTGCTGCTGGGCCAGGGCATTGCTGTGGTGGGCAGGAGGAATCTGGCCAATGCCTGCACCCACACCCATGCCCGCACTCCCTCCACCGAAGTAGTGACCCATCATACCACCCATTGTGCTGGCATACGACACCGGCATCGACTCCATCATGGTAGGATCTGTCGAGTAGAGAAAGTGGCGCCATTAACACAGTCGAGTACATAAATTCACTTCAAATTTGGCCACCAACGAGGTGGTTCATGCTAACTGCCTCTCAGCTAACACAGATATATACTGCAGCCTCTCTTTTTTTCTTAACTACCATGTAAATAATAAGGTGAGAGGCTCCCCTGGGTGAGTGAGGTGGTCACAGCCGTCACAAAGCTCCTCCACCATAAAGCATCGTTCATAATGGGCCCTGTTATTGGCTGTGCTAATAACTTACGTCAACCAGCCGTGTACGAGGCCGTAAGCGATGCCCCTGCCGTTAATGACCCATACATCAAGTGGGTGCAGTAATTAGGCGCCTAGTCCTAGCACAGCGGGTAATTGGCACTGGCGAAGGGGCGGTTGTGGCCCCCGGAGGGTGTACTCCACCAGACCGCCATTACCACACCAAGCAACATACACATCTGCGTGATCTACGTGCCACCCACCGCAAGATTAGCATACAAACAACTTTAACACAGAACACAACACTGCACATACACATGGTGGCTGCTGGCTGGGCGACGCGAGGGCTGCTGTTGTGGCCTCCAAGGTTCTCCACTACAGTTAGCTGCTGCTGCGCACACTGCTCACGATCACGTTAAGGCTCTACTGAGCTCACTACAACCACTCTACACTGGATAATTACGGGGTAATCACTGCTCGAATGTCGACACAGAAGCGACAGTGTGTCTAGCGATGCTGGAGGAAGTATGACCAAGGGCCCTGGCTAACAAATATTTTAAACACTGGACATGGAGTACGGACGGCCTCTGTGACGTCACGTAGTATCCGCCAATAATAATGGGTTCTCAGTAGCCCGCGTGACGTCACGAGCCAGCGAGCCAATAACAAAGTGGTGGGACGGTGGGTGGAGCTAGCGGCCCCCCGGAGAGCTGACTCCGCCCATCAACCACCGCGCGCCACCCGATTGGCCGCCGTCTGACCCAACCGCCAAGATCCCGCCGACACCTCGATCATGCGAGATACATTTGATAATGCTCTTATTTTCTTTATTGTAATGGAATATATTGTTTATCACAATGAGTTTCTATCTACAACTGGGATCATTGCAGGTATCTCTTATCACACTGAAGACGGCCATGTCTTATCAGAGAGGGACAATACTCGACAATTTATCTCAGTGAAATAATACATAAGATCTATCACATTTTTATACAGGGCTTCTTACAGGAGTTGTCTGCCGTGGATGCAGCAGCTATTAAGGTACATCCTCACTCATTGCTCACTCCACTTACACCATAAACATTGTGGAGCTTCAACAGTTGCAGCCATGAGTCCTACCAACAACAGATCATTAAAACTAAACACACGAGCGTCACCAAGAGGACCCTAGACCACGGTATTAGGGGCCCCTGGTTATGGGTATTAGGGGACCTGAGGGAAGGTGTTAGGGTTCCCAGGAAGAAGTTAGTGGGGGCCCCTGGGGGATGCAAAAGGGGGTTCCTGTAGAATGGGTGTTAGGAGCTCTGGAGGACGTTACTATAGAGGTTTTATAGGAGAGGGTTGGGGCCCCTGGAATAAGGTGTAACGGAGGTTTTAGGAGGAAGGAGGTGAGGGGCCCCTGGATATAAGTTGTGGGGCCCCTGAATGAAGATGGGGACACCTAAAGGAAGACAGAGAATGGGGGCCCCTTGGGAGTAGGTAGTTGGAACCTCTGTAGGTAAGTAGTGAGGGCCCCTGGAAAAAGATAGTGGGGTCCCCTGTATCCTGGGCGAGCGGGCAGGGGCAGGAGGCAGGAACGGTCTGAATGGGCGGGCATGGGAAAGAATGGGCCGCTATTCAATAGACATTCTTTAGCTCCGAACACCTGGAAGTCTGGCTCGTAAAAGCCCCGCGGCGGTCTCAGATTTACCAGAGGGGAGCCTGGGGCTGCTCCTTGCCAGATAGTCCCCGCGGGGCCACCCTCCCTCCCAGCCTCGCCCACTACCTCCACTACAACACCTCTCCACCTACACTCTTAGGCAGGTCTTCTACAGCCACTAAGATATATTCTGAAGGAGAGGAGCATCACAAGAAGAGACCTATTAAGAGAGAAACAGGGTGGTGGCGCCTGTCTGAGCTCCCGGTGAGAAAGAGCCGGGCGGAAGGGCGCCAAAGTGGGATTTTCTCAGCGTTCAATTGTGTTCACCGGCCGGGGACCCTGATCACTCGGCCACACCGGCACGCGGCTTATTGGACCACGGCTGCCACGCTCGCATATTACGCACTTCCTCTTGCACCTTATCTCTCTGGTGTACAGTACTATGCATCTGTAGTGACCAAATTCTCTTTTGACCATGTTGGCAATCGCTTGTAATGATTGTGAAGGGAAATGTGCGGTCCATTTAGGCAGCGTCTGTAGTGCGAGGACAACAAAATCGGTAAGAAGCAACTGTACCAAAAGATTAATGCACTTCCGAAGCTTTTGTTTGTCCTCTGTACACAAAAATGATACGTGGAGCCGTGATTCACCAGAACCTGGAAATAGCATGAGGAAGACCTGTCCACCAAGCCAATGAAAAGCCTTTAGTTGAATGTGTTTACTGATTAGTGGAAGGATACCAACAGGTGACTTAAACAACATTAGGAAAATTCTAGTTCAGTGTATATGAAATGAAGGGAATTTATTACCATGTGTTTGATGGATGATAAAGGTATACATTGTGAAGCAGTGAGTAACCATGCAGTAAGTGTGGGAAGCTGTTTAGAAGGGAGAGTTGAGGAGCAGGTAGAGACTGCCGCCCCCCTCCCCCCAGGTGTGAGTGACCCTCTCATAGTTTCATCTCTCTCAGCTGACAGACATGCCAACACTAACGCTCTAACTCGGGTTGCTGAATGAATCGTGAAATACAACAAGAAACGTATACCTTTTTTTTTAAATTCGATACAGTTACAGATTCGTCAACCCTCAATACATAATACAGATTTTCGCTTGATACCTGATGTATTATAATCTGTTGCTTCCCGCCAGGTGTTGGAGACAAGGAAATCAACATCAGGGACCAATATAATCCCGTGTGTCTTAGCAACCAGCCATGTTGTGTGGTGACGTAAACAGCTGACACATACACACTGAGTGACTTTATGAACTCGAGTTAAATTTTAGCTTTGTCAGAATGTGTGGTGAAGAATGTGTGGTACAGAATGTGTGGTGAAGAATGTGTAGTGAAGAATGTGTGGTGAAGAATGTGTGGTGAAGAATGTGTGGTGAAGAATGTGTGGTGAAGAATGTGTGGTAAGAATGTGTGGTGAAGAATGTGTGGTAAAGAATGTGTGGTGAAGAATGTGTGGTGAAGAATGTGTGGTGAAGAATGTGTGGTGAAGAATGTGTGGTAAAGAAAAGAATGTGTGGTGAAGAATGTGTGGTGAAGAATGTGTGGTAAAGAATGTGTGGTGAAGAATGTGTGGTGAAGAATGTGTGGTGAAGAATGTGTGGTGAAGAATGTGTGGTGAAGACTGTGGTGAAGAATGTGGTAAAGAATGTGTGGTAAAGAATGTGTGGTGAAGAATGTGTGGTAAAGAATGTGTGGTGAAGAATGTGTGGTGAAGAATGTGTGGTGAAGAATGTGTGGTGAAGACTGTGTGGTGAAGAATGCGTGGTAAAGAATGTGTGGTGAAGAATGTGTGGTGAAGAATGTGTGGTGAAGAATGTGTGGTGAAGAATGTGTGGTAAAGAATGTGTGGTGAAGAATGTGTGGTGAAGAATGTGTGGTGAAGAATGTGTGGTAAAGAATGTGTGGTGAAGAATGCATAAGTGTGAGGTAAAAGACTCATTAAATGTTATATATACAATCCTTATGCTACTAGAATTTAGATACGTGTTATTTAAAAGATCATCAATGGTCGTCTTTAAGCTGTGTGTTTATTACAGGTAAGTTATTTGTTTACCTGTTCTACGTCGGTGTTTATCAGGCCACGACAGACAAG